TGCTTAAGGCCAACCTATGAGTTAATGGTTGTGGAAAAAATATTGAAGGTTGGTAATTCTGTTTTTTTTTTTTTTTTTTTTTAAAGATTTTATTTATTTGACACAGAGAGAGAAAAAGAGAGACAGTGAGAGAGGGAACACATGCAGGGGCGGAGAGGGAGAGGGAGAAGCAGGCCTCCCACTGAGCTGGGAGCCCAATGCCGGGCTCGATCCCAGGACCCTGGGACCATGACCTGAGCCAAAAGCAGACGCCTAATGACTGAGCCACCCAGGTGCCCCAAAGGTTATTAATTCTTAATTCCACTTTATGATTCTAAATCTTAAACTTATGACATCCTCATGATATTTCAAACCATCCATGGGCTGAGTCCTAGATCTAAATATCAAATACAAAACTATCACGTGGAGCCCCATGTTTAAAAAAGCAACAAATAACATGTAAGATACATTTATGAAAAAGCGCAGAGGAGACTACCCTCCAAAAATATATTCATGGACTATTTGATAAAGTCAGACTAGAAGGGCAAAGGGTGGTAGTAAATAAATGTTATGCTCTAAAACTGAATTTTGCCGATAGTTTTCAGCATGATTTTTCTATGTTTCACTTTTCACTGTCAGCTGTGAGCTGTTTCCAAGTGTGAAATCGCCTAAGAGAGGAAGCAAAGCTGTCATTTGACATCTGGGAGCATGGAGATCGGACTGCAGTAAAAAGCAGTTTGGACTTCTTCAATTACACACATATTCACCGATAAATTCCAAAGTCTGAAAAGTATTCAATGAGAAATATCAATGTAAATTTCAAGCATTTATAAAAGCTCATAATGGAGTGGAAAATAAAGGTGAAGGACACACAGGGATAGGATACCTTATCAACCTGGGAAGACCAGAATAAGAAACTGAAGTGATTATATTAGCATAATAATGAACATGTAAATAATTTTACTCACTTGCCGTAGATTGCTTATTAAACTTTCAAATAAAGTCTTTTGTATTTTATATGCTATTACAGGTTCTAGCTGCCTTTTTATAATGAAGGGTCAAGACTGTTAAGGGGAAAAAATACTGGTAAAAAAACACTTTATTCTTCATTTACACTTAAAATGCTATAACAAAAATTTATTCTGTGTTATGATAAATTAATAGTTATGATGATAGAGCACATAAAATCCTGTGTGTGTGTGTGTGTGTGTGCGCGCGCGCGCGTGCGTGTGTACACAAATATAGAAATAAAATCAGAGGGGTGCCTGGGTGCTCAGTGGGTTAAAGCCACTGCCTTCGACTCCGGTTATGATCTCAGGGCCCTGGGATCGAGCCCGCATCAGGCTCTCTGCTCAGTGGGGGGCCTGCTTCCCCTCCTCTCTCTCTGCCTGCCTCTCTGCTTACTTGTGATCTCTGTCTGTCAAATAAATAAATAAAATCTTAAAAAAAAAAAGAAATAAAATCAGAGTAACTACAAAGAAGTCCTCTAGGGAAGAATAATCAATTTACTCCAGTTTTTATTCTGTAACCACTCACCACCAAAAATAGGGCAACCTGTCCACAAGTCTCTTAATAAAGTATCTAAAAGTTTCCTAACGTGGAAACTAGACAGTATTATGTTTATATTGTCACGCTATACAACCTATTTCCACTTTGGGGTCTATTTCTTTGCTCCTTCTCTTCCTGAACTCTGTCCTGTGTTTCTCTGGTATGAAAGGAACCCATTTACCATGAATGATGTTTATTTAAAATAAAACCTTTCTAGAGAATCATCCTAGGTAATCTAAGGATACAAAGTGAACCTAAAAGAATGGCTTCGACTTTGAAAACAGGGCTGGGTTTGATCAGTGAATTCGTATTCTCAAGACCCTCTTGATCGGCCTGCAGCTGCGGCCATTTATTTGCCGGCTTTTTCACAGATGTAGACCGAGAAAGCACCATGGGTTTTGTCTTTTTGTTATGGACTTGTTTTCTTTAACATAAAAAAGTGGCAACTTTTTAAGAAAGTTCTTCATGTTGTTGTAGAAACTGGTGAACATCAGATATCCTTGGTAGTACACACTGCTAAAAGGACTATGACTTTTTAAAATCTGAGATCACAAAGTTGGCAGAAACTATACTTCAGTAACAGAAGGTGATCATTTGCATTTCGAAATTTATCTATCTTGCTTTTCCCCTCAATTAGACCAAAACATGTTGATTCACAGGTTTCTGTGTGTGTGTTGTTTCTTTTTTAAACTTATTTATAGAGCAGAATAATGGCCCCCCTGCTAGTCTGGCATGTGCTCAAGTTTCTGTCCATGTAAATCGAATCTGTTACTGGAAATTTTTCTCAAAATATAAAGGCACATCATCCACAAGATGAAAAGATACACTGCTGATATTATAAAGTACAGGGCAGGTGGATCATGTTTTTAGGACAAATACGTGATAAGGATTCCCAGGAGGGAGGAGGGGTCGGGGTAGAGGTTGCATGCTGTTTAAACAGAACTGGATCATTCTCATCACAATCTTATGACAACTTTACTTTCTTACCAAACATCAGCAGCTTAACATGCTTTAGAGTTACTTGGACAATAATACTAAGGTTAGAGTTGGAAAATGGAAAGGCAGAGGGAATGTGGGAGAGAATGACTGCAACCCTGCAGTGTCTCTAAGGGCAGACCAGAAGATGACTAAGTATTCTCTGTCCCCATGTATTAATGGATTCGTGACTTTTAAGCACTGAAATATTAGCATATTAGCATTGCTCCCACCCTTTGAGAAGAGGAGGAAAACCTACTTAACAGTTTTTATCAGTGGCACCACTATTCACTCTTGAAATAAACAGTAATTTACAATTTTTTGTCCCAGTTCCTTTACATTATAAGCAAGGGGCAGGAGAACACGGACTTAACTGTGTTCCGTCACTCTCTGGGTTTATATCATCTACATTACAACATTAGCTTTACTTTTCAGTGAAGGCCACTGCTGGTTTTGTCCCCCCCTCCCCACAACTGATAAAACAAATTAATAGGCCCAAAGAATAGAAGAGACTTTCCACATTGTTCAGTGCATGCCATAATGCTAGAACACTTCTGCAACTCACAAAGCTTGAAAGTACAATTCTTTCATGCAAATAATTAAAACAAAGCCCTTCTTCAGATGACAGCTTTTTTCAAATGTTAGTGAAGGGCAACCTGGAAGATGACAGTAAAAATCCATTAATGGTAGACTGCCACCTGCTGGTAAACTATTAGAATTGTGATTTCCGGGGAAAGGCTTTAAAGGAAAATCTGGAAACTGATCTGGATTAAACTCAGTATTTCGGTACCCAAAATTAAAAGTATGTATTAGTTGATGAATGCAGTATAGCTTTGTTCCACATATATTAAAATTCTCAGGATGTCAACGTGCTATGAATATTAAAGTATAGGACTGTACACTGAAGAAACAATCTGCTGGAATGCCAAAGGATGACCCTATAGTTTTCAATAAGAGATGAAAATAAAAATAGGAAATAAGGAGTCAGTTATAAATATTAAACAATGTCTCACAAACATTTGGTTTTGATGTGACGTTTATACTGCACTTCACTTCTGGATTTAACAGGTTTCATGTCAAAGAACTCCCAGATTTAATTTTGATTCTAAAACCTCCAAATTCATTACAATTAACATATGTACTTGTGTACACTGATATCTGAAATGTTATTTATCAAATTAGAAAAGGGGGTGAAGTATTAAAAAAAAAAAAAGAACCAGATAACCATCATAAAGTGATTATACTATGAAATTATTTTTGTTATCCCATTAACTAAATCATACTAATAAGGGCTTCAAAAGAAACAGCATAATATTATCTACTTGAGAGAAACAAAAATATAGGCATGCTCTATTGCCCCTAGGAAAAAAATAAAATCAAACACCCCTAACTTGAGGGAAGGAAGTGGAAAGGAAAAGGTATAACAGTAAGAAAAAAATCCAAATCATTCTTTTCAGGAAATAGTTTTAGGATATTTGCTTTGCAGGTTGAAAAACTTTGCTATTCCCCAATACAGAAATAATTCTTAACAATGAAGGTTGTAACTAAAAACAATATAGCTCTTTCAATCCTAATTATAATCATTTCCCATTATTCAGGGAAGCAATGTTAGCATCAATAATATGCTGGTTAGCCAGGAAGCATTAAATACTGTATTAATCAACAACTAAGCAGATCATGTCAACATAATCAGTTTGAACCTCCTTTGAAAGCTATTGGGGTGACAAGTGAAGCAACTCTGACCATCCAAAGAGGCTAAAAGGTAGGCAAAAGGTGAACAAACTTTGGGTTCAGATATAGCCCCATCTGCACTGACAGAGACACTAACTCAAATCCAATTCAGATGCTTAAATGACCTATCATTACCAGCAAAGGATCTAACACACCCCAGAAATAAATCTCTAATTTTTAAGAAACAAAGACAATACAGTAACCTGTTGTGTCAAATATTTGGCTAAACTGGCTATTTTAAACCAAGAAGAACATGCTTCCTAAAATGTCTCAGATACAGAAAAGAACACTAAAATCTGCTCTACAACCCCAGCTTGGCTTATCACTGAAGTCACAATATTGCATTTTTTTAATTCCACTTTTTTTTATTATCCATTTTACCCTTGGAAATTTTACCCCCTTTGTCGGCTACCTCTCCTATCTTAATAAAACCATGCAGTTAAAGAGGTTTGGGGTATTTAAAGGTCCTTCTAAACACTAAGAAGTTACGACATGTCTAAGACAGACTGCACTGTCAGTTCTAAAGTACAAACCTGTTTAACAACAACAAATACACACACACACACACACACACACACACACACACACACATCCCTCTATTGGAATATACAATGCTTTAATTTCCAAATTTTCTTTTTTTGGAGGATTAAAGAGATACTCAAATCCAACACATACGTGAACTGTGAGTGAAAAACACAACTTCTGCAAAGAAAAGAGAGCTGCTGAACTACTTTTTCAAGTGAAACATTTTAGGAGATTGCTCTAACCTGGGGCACAGTACATTCTCTCTATGGCATCGCTGTCACAGGAATCTTCAACCTCACTCCACCTGCTAAAATACGTTAGCTGAATGTGTCCTAAAAACAAAACGACAGGAGAAATCAAAACATTTTTCTCTTCCATTTTCTGCAGAAGTGAACTGTAATTACTCCTTTTGTAGCTAAAAACAGTATCATTAAGAATAATGGCATCATTAAGTACTAGAAGCTATTACTGGGGGTGAATTTGCCGCACTGATAATGAAGCTCTAGACAGGAAATGAAGATACTAATTACAAGATAAAACGCCTACTCAGTTAATTGGAAGCAACAGCGAATAAAAAGAAATGCATTTGCAAAAGTTCCTGACCTCTATCATTCAATAAGATGTTGTTTGGGTTCAAATCGCGGCACACAATTCCCTCTCTATGTAAAGCATCAAGGGCTACCACCATTTCAGCTGCCCATCTTTGAATGCAGCCCTCGGGGATGTAAAACCTGGAGTTTAGTGCTAATTTTTTATCAAGGTCCTCAAAAATCTGATGTATTTCCTTGTCTCCTTCTAGGGTTAATCCACTCTCTCCCTTAGTCTCTGGGTCTCTCTGAAATAAAGTCAGTTCCTCTTTAGCCAAATCCTCCGTTTGATCTGTAAACAGCAATACTTCTTCAGTTTTTAAAGTGTCTGTGTTTACATTATATTCATTAGCACCTGAGAGTGGGTTAGGAATATGGAATAAGCTTTCTTCTGTGTTGTCTGCAGTTACTGCCGACTCCACCACTCCAAGTCCTTGGAACTTAGAATCGGTGTGTAACAAAGACACGTCTCCTGAACTACTATGATCAGCAGCTGCTACAAATAACATCCCAAGATCCCCCTGGGCATTGTGTTTCTCCGCTAGACTCTGGGATGTAGGTCCAGAGGGATCACTCAATTCCTCCGTGCCTTCTTCTTCTCTTGCTTGGCGTTTTTCAGTACTAAGTTGAAGGCATAAAACATCGGGGGCTTCCAACAGTTTACTTTCAATTATGCCTATGTCGGTCTGCGGACACTTAGTCGTTCCCACTGTTGCACCATCTCTGGTCGGCTCCAGTTCACCGGGTAGATTTACAAGAAGATCAGGCCTTCCCTCATCAGTGCCAGTGACATCATCGAAAGCAGCATCTTTAAAAGAAATGACTGGGACAGAGTCATCTGAGCCCCTGCTAATGGTGTCCTGAGCTAGAAATTCTACCTTGCTTTCACTACCACTGAAACTCCTGGAAGTGCTGTCTCCATCTGGAAGAGTGAAAAATGGTTTCAGAGGCTCTGACTTTAGACTATACAGTTTTTCTCCAAAATCAAGGCCTAGCAGTTCACTAGTGCTATCCTTACTGTCTATCCTAAAGAATTCCATGGGGCTGTTTTTAGATCTACTAAGGGAATCTGACGTTCTTGGAGAACTAACTGCTTCTACATCATCATCTCCAGCAAAGAACTTCAGCTCATGAGCTATCTGCTGGGTGCTGGGGTTGTCACAGCCAGCAGCAAGGTGTGCTGGGAAACTTTCAGTAGCTTTGGTATCAACACCATTCCCTCCAATCTTCATGAAAGGCTCCTCATTCAAGGACCCTGGTTCAATCTTTTCTTGCCCATATTCATTGCATAATGTCAAATAACTAGTAGTACATTCTTCTTCTGAACTTGAACCAGAATCTGGCCATTTTGGAGAGCTATCCTGGCCTTCTTCATCTTGGTTACTATCATCTTGAGAGCTTGGAGTAAGACTAGTCTTCAACGGCAGAACTTTGAGCATGGTTCCACCGTCACTTCCTCTGGAGTCAAAGCTGCTGCTGTCCTGAGGACTAGAAGTTGGCTGTTGAAGGTGAACTTTGGTAAGTGTAGATTTTTTCACTTCCCCGATGTCAAAGCTTTCTTCAGGGCTTCTGTTTAGAAACTTACTGATATATGACCAGAGTTTGCCACCTGTGAACAAGTATAACCAAAAAAATTTTTAAGATCCCCAAAGTAATGGTTACCTATTGAAGCCCTCAGAAAAACAAAGAGCATTCTAATAATCAACCAAACGCAAGACAATGATACCCGTAACATCAAGTATGCTGTAAAACAAGCATTTTAATGAAATGCTTTCTTGTTATTGCTGACTGTTGAGTATAGTTTTAAACATATCTCCTGATACCAGTTACCTTTTAAATGACAATCTATCTTTCCCTTTGAAATTAGTTTAACAAATACTAATATGAAATCTCACAGTAGAACACTGCTTTAGGGGCGCCTGGGTGGCTCAGTGGGTTAAAGTTCTGCCTTCGGCTCGGGTCATGATCCCAGGGTCCTGGGATCGAGCCCCACATCGGGCTCTCTGCTCAGCAGGGAGCCTGCTTCCCCCTCTCTCTCTGCCTGCCTCTCTGCCTACTTGTGATCTCTGCCTGTCAAATAAATAAATAAAATCTTTAAAAAAAAAAAAAGAACACTGCTTTAAATATGATTTAGCTGCTGAAACATCTGATTACGTTCTGAGCTGTTTATGTAATAATTTTCTGAAGCATGGCCCCTTGGCCAAGTGGAAATACATAAATAAGTTCTCTTAAAATTGTATAGACTATAGGGGGTAAAAATCAACAATATTATTCCATAATATTCTATACTATGCCCATTCCAAGATTAGAGGGGAGATACAGCATCGGGTATATAATTACACCATTGTAAATGACATATTAATAACATTTTTCCCATTCCCCCCATACACATCATATATGGTATAAGACCAAGTAAAGCAACTGAGGAAAATTGATTGGGCAGCCATTAATGTGGCCAACTATTGTAATTCTGGTTCTGTATTCTGAGATATATGAGAAACCTATGGAAAAGTAAAATCGTAAATATCAATTTCAGGGGCGCCTGGGTGGCTCAGTGGGTTAAAGCCTCTGCCTTCAGCTCGGGTCATGATCTCAGGGTCCTGGGATCTAGCCCCGCATCAGGCTCTCTGCTCAGCAGGGAGCCTGCTTCCCCCTGTCTCTCTGCCTGCCTCTCTGCCTACTTGTGATCTCTCTGTCAAATAAATAAATAAAATCTTTTTTAAAAAAAATCAATTTCAAAGAAATCACAGAAATCAAATAAACATAAAGGAAGCCGATGCTTTACCAGGAATACTTACTAGTTATTTCCCCTTATTTTTCTTTTTGTGTTATGTTAACCATTAAAAACTCCACCTGTTTTGCTCATTAGAATCTTTGAACAAATAACTATAAGTATCAAAAACCTACCAAAGCTTCATTGTATTATAATAGTTAAATTTGATCTAGAAATCTTATAAACGATAACTGCAGATGCATACTTTGTGACGATGTTAACCGTAGCTTCCAAAAATGGGAAATAATGTGTTAAAAATAAATCCCTCATTAACATGAAGAAGGCAACTTTTTTTTCCCGGCACATTTTTAATGTCCTTATTAAGCATCCTATACCAAGGGTAACAATCTTAAGAGAAATAATCTCTGACAGTCAATTATATGTATAAAAAGGTTAGTGGAAGCATCCAAAAAAATCCTTTTGTACTTGGCATTTCATTTCATTTAGAGGAACTCAGTAAATAGCCCCAGTACTGTGCCTACTATAAAGTAAATGTATAGTAAAGGATAACTGTCATAAAATTAATCCTAAGATACTGAGACATCTCTCCCTGTGACCCAGTTAATAATCTTCTCCCATTTGGACAATAATTAGGAGTATTGGACATTATGGTGTTTAACTTTTCCCTCTCCTTTTTCTTAGCTAACTTTCTGTCCTCACTAGATTATACTTAGTGTTTCGTATTTCCCCATATTCAAATAAAATTTAAGGTTCGTATATAGCTTTGAAACTCACAAAAGAAGCTATGCATTGATTCCATCATTTTCTTCATCATCTGACAACAATAGCCACATTCCTCTTATCACAAATACGTCTGTTGTGGCACACTAACAATAAAGCCTGAACCCGGAGCTGGGATTCTTGTAAGCAGTCCAACTGAAACAATGTATGTTGTTTTCCATTCTCCTAGATGGGGACGACTGTGAGAACAGGACCATCTTTTTCATCTTTCTGTATCTACTGCCTAAACAGTGTGCAGGACAGGATGGGCACTCAGTCAGTGCTGCTTCAACTCACAAATGGTAACTCATTAGAATGAGATGTGCCAACACAAAGTAGATAGTCTTTGCGGTTGCAAAGTTCCAATAACAGCAAGAAACAGTACCCAGCGAAGTTCTAAGAGAAGTTGTATACATTCTTAGGCCAAGTTCACCTGGATGAACTGCTGAAATCTAAAATTCAATGTCCTTAAATTCTTTCTCCTCCTTCTCCCCCATCACTTCCTCTCTCTGACCTTCAAGCCAATCTTAGATTATTTTTCCTCCCTTGTTCTTTTGGGCAAGTTTCCGAGTCCTATAGGACATGTCCATAATATTTTATGCCGTCTTCCTCTTCTACTGATTCCTCTGGTCAATCTGCTTCTTGGAATAACTTTATGGCTACAACTAGATCCCTGCTTTAACTCCTTTCCGTATCATTCTATCATACTAATTGCTACCCACTAATCTTCCATTTTAGCACAGACTTATATTATTTCTCCATTCAAGAACCCAAATTCCCTCCACCTACTAAATAATGTATGTACCAACTCTACAGAGGCACTGAACCCCTCGGTAATACAATGTGTCAAGCTATGATGCGGTCCTCCCCTTCAACTCACCAAATAATTCATCTGATTATCTGGATTCCTCCAAATATAACCCATGCTGGGCTTTTGCTCAAACTATACCTACCACTTAAAGAATTTTTTTTTTTATTAGTTTCTCCAATATCTACTTGTGAAAATCCTAACCATTCTTTTCTTTTTTTTTTAAGATTTTATTTATTTATTTGAGAGAGAGACAGTGAGAGAGAGCATGAGCGAGAAGGTCAGAGGGAGAAGCAGACTCCCCATGGAGCTGGGAGCCCGATGCGGGACTCGATCCCGGAACTCCGGGATCATGACCTGAGCTGAAGGCAGTCGTCCAACCAACTGAGCCACCCAGGCGTCCCAATCCTAACCATTCTTGATGGTTCCTCAGGAATTTGTTTTCTTTTACCAATTTTTTGACATGCCCTCAGTGGATTCAGATTCTCTGAATCTTTTATATCACTCAGTCCCTCTTACAACATTTAAAATGTGCTGTTTCATGGTAATATTACTTTCATACTTCTATACTTTTACCATCTCCTATACCAGACTACAGGGTTTCAAAACTACAAGGAGAGGATTCTGCCTAGCATGTAAAATAATAGGTATTAAATAAATAGTTATTAAATCGGGTTATAAAAAGATGACATCTTCCCAAGTAGTTTGAAAATCTTTTAAGAATAAGGGTCTATAAATATTAGTCATTATTTTGGGTCATGCTTCCTTTCTGCTTTAAAACAAATATATGGTCTCAAAAAAATTAAATACAAAAAAGAACAGAAGAGAAAAATTCAAAATAATACAAATCTATTTATAACAATATAATACAAATACAATAATAACACAAAACTATTAACTACAGGTGCCTGGGTGGTTCAGTTAGTTAAGCATTTGACTCTTGATTTTGGCTCAGATCATGATCTCATGGGTCATGGGATATAGCCGCACACTGGGCTCCATGCTCAGCAGGAAATCCGCTTGGACGTCTCTCTCTCCCCTCTGTCCTACCCCCATTCATGAGAGTACACTCAAGCGCTCTCCCTCCCTCTCTAATAAATGGATAAATCTTTTTTAAAAAACACTATTAACTATTTGTACATTTATTTCCAGACTTTTTGTTTGTGACTAACATCACATCATAAACATTTTCTAATTTTCATGAGACCATGAACTTCAGTGGCTATATAACATAACCATGTGACAGACACTATGAGGCATTTACATGTTCATCTACTGTTGGACATTTACACTGTTTCCAATCTTTTACTATTTTATAACTAAAATAATATGTACTTTTACATGAAGTACTTAACATCCTTGATAATTTCGTCAGGACAGAACTCCAGAAATGAAAAGACTAGATCAAAAAGCATGAATATGTTTAGTGCTTCTGATACATGTTGAGAAACTCCTTTATAGATAGGCTATACCAGAATCTACTCCTATAAGCCTGTGTAATGCCATCTTCACAGCAACTTGCCTTTACTGAATGATAGCAAGCTGACCAATTTGTTTAGTCAAATATGTCATCTCCCTTAATTTCTATTCTTCTCATTATTACATAGAATTCATAAATGTGATGGTTGGCACTATCTTCATGACATTTGTTCCTAACCTAAACAAGTACCCTAGAATGAATTATAAAAACTCTGCATTTTTCAAAAAAGAATGAAACTGTTTTAGCCCTTCTCCATTCTTTGCTGGGTGCCCAGTTAAATTTAATGTTTGATATGGAACTATGGAAACAAAATTTTGGTCCTATCCCATACTTTTTTTCAATGACAAAATCACGAAAACCACAAAACTTATAAGAACACATTATTTCCTTTGAAATAGTGCACCCACAAAAGCTGAGTGTGTTTTACTTTCTATCAATTAAGATCAGGCCTAATAGACAAACTTACACAAATGTCAACAGTATAATTGTAATTATTATTACAATTATAATTATAACATTAAAAACATTATCCTTTAAAAAAATCTCTCAAAATATAAGTAGAAAATACCTAACATATTTATAATTTTTAACATTTCAGAAATATGAATGATACCTTTTATAAGCCTCACTGAAGCATATAAAACTTAGAGATATTAGCTATTTTAAGCTAATGAAATCAGTAATTCATAAAGTTTAATAAAAACTCTTATTAAATTTTAATTTATTGGTTTTCTGAAAGACTGCAAAGAATATTTGTTAAATTTGCTTGACCAGAATTAGGACTTGACTTTAATATGTACGATAAAATACTGCTGGAACAATGATCAA